GTCCCTCCCCAGGTACCGAGCCGCCCCCCACCCCCGTACCAGTCCCTTCCCAGGGCTGGGATGTCCTCCCGGCGCTGGGATACCTGGTCCTCCCCGTATCACTACCCCTACATCGGGGACATCCTCCCAGTACCGGGATGGCCCCATGCCGTTACCCCCAGGACAGGGATGTTCTCCCAGTACCGGGATGCCATTGCAGGGGGGGGAGCCCAGACGCACGGCCGGTGGCCCCAGGGTGATGGAACCCAGCTAGCCCGCATCCCTTGCCCCAGCAGGACAGTCTCCTCTGTGCAGGTGGCCTGTGACCGGGTGACTGGCCACGGCTGGGGTGCTGAGGGCTCCATCCCACTGGCAGGGAGGGGAGAGGGTGTCTTTGCTGGGTGGGTGCGATGGGCTGGAGGGAGGGATGTCAGCAGTGGGCTCTGGCCCTGAGTTGCGAGCTCGGCCGTCCCTGGGGATGCTGGCTGCACCCACAGAAAACGGGTGCCAGCGTTACCTGGTGCACACGAGGTGAGTGGAGCAGTTTTCCCAGCTCACCCCAAGATCAGAGCCAGCCCACAGACTTCATCACACAAGGTGACAGCCTGGAAAGCAAACAAGTGCCTGTTTCCTTCCTCTCAGATCTTGGTCAGAAGCCCTCTCCTCTGCAGGGATGGAAGGACCTTGCTCCAGCAGATGCAGGGCTGGAGAGAACCTGTGGCCAGTGTCCATGCTTCTGGGGAGGTCTAGACCTCTCCGATGAGCTGGTGTGTTCCCAGAGGGCTTGGGAAGCTTTAGTTCAGTGTTTCCCAGTGCAGTGGCATCCAATGTCACCTGCGGGACAGCTGGTCACACTTAATGGCCAAGGGAGAGTGTGCAAGAGGGAGCCCTCAACATCTCACCCACAGGCTCTTACCCCAAGGGCCAGAGAGGTTTTGGAGCCCCCCAAAATCACAAAGTTAAATATATGGAGATGTTATATGGAGATGTTATTAGAGTATTGCATCAATGGCTCTCAAATGTATACTCAGAAAGTAGACTCAAGCTGACTTTTATATGGACATTGGCTGAAATCCTGAAGAAGGGGTGAGGAGCATTGCCAGGGAGGTGTGACGTGGCATCGCCAAGCTGTGTGTCCGGAGATGTCTCCACCCCACACCTCGGCATCGCAGGTCTTGGCAGCCTTTGGGAGCATGAAGCAGCTGGGTGCAGGGGCTTCCCCCATCCCTGGCACCCATCCGTGGTGGGCAGCACTCGCTGGTGTCCTGCTGGCCTGGGGCTCCCTGAAAAATGGCCCAACCACCCAACAGAAGCTATAGTGAAGGCAGTTCACCACAGTGGTGGGAAATGTCTCTGGGGGTTAATTACCCTCATCATCAGAGGTGCTTTCTGCCACCCTAATTGGAGCCTGTGCAGCCTTGGCTGGACATGGGCTCCTGGGGACGGGGCACCCACAGGAAGATGCTGTTGCAGGGACAGACAGAGCCACTCCATGTCCTGACACAACCCTGGGCTGCTGCTCCCTTCCCCAAAAATTTAAATCTAGAGTGAGCTGCCAGCCTCAGGCTCATCCTGTGGATGCTCTGGAGTGGGACATCTCCAGCTGGGAGAGGAGCATGGAGCTCCTGGGAAGCTGGTGGTGAAGATATGTCTGTGTGGGGCAGGGTCTTGGCATCCCTTTTCCATCCCACTGCTCATTCCCTTTCTCTCTCTCCCCTCAGATTTAGACATGGCCAGGGAACCCAAGCCGAGCCGGGCCCGGCTGGGCCAGAAGCGGCAGCACAGCAGCAGCCTGTACCAGTGAGTACTGGCACGTGGGGCGGGAGCTGTGCTGGGGGGGACCCGTCTCAGGCTGGGGACTGTCCCATGCCTGGCTCTTCCTCCTCCCCCTTCTCTCCATTGCTTACCTCCCAACTATTCCATCTACCTGCCCGCAGTGGCGGACATGGGTCCATTCAACGTCCCTGCCCCATCTCAGTGGGGCCCTTGGAGCATCACTTGGCCACACCAGTGGTGGCTGGAGGCCTCACTGGGTCCCACCCAGGATGGGTGTGAAGATCCTCCTTCCCCATCTGAAGGTGCTGGGAGAAGAGCAGAGCGTTGTGCTCTCCACGCCATGTCGATGTTGGTTGCAGTTCTGGCCTTTAAATGATGTTCCTTGGGGGACAGGCACCCCTGCAGAGGCAAAGAGGGGTGCCATTGGGCCTGAGAGTGGCAGTAGATGATGGTGATGGTGACAGAATGATGGCACCAATGGTGACAGAAAAGCAGGTCCCCATCCCTGCGTGCTTTTGGCTCTCCAGCTCAGCAGACGTGTGGCGAGAAGGGGATCGGAGCTGGCTCCGTCTATTTCGTTGGAGAGCTTTTTGTGAACACCCTGATTGAACTAATTGCTCTGCCCGTTGCCATGGTGCCAGAGGGATGCAGCACTGGCAGGGCAGGGACTGCCAGCCCCCTTGGGCTGCCGGAGCGTGGCAGATGATGCTTTTGCTCTTCCTGAGGGATGGTCTGGGCAAAGAGCTGAGCCGGGAAAGCCCTTGCTGTGTCCCTAGCTGGGTGCCAGACCCCAAGACCAGGTCTCCTGTGGAGCCACTGGTGCTTCCATGGTGCAAGGTGCCTGTGGCATCCCCGTTCCTCTCAGCAGTGGCTCTGGGCAGCAGTAGCCATCATTCCCTGTGCGCCGTGTGTGAGTTATGACTCTCCTCTGGCTGCCCATTACCCTCTTCCCCAAGGCAGGTTGTGACCTTCCTCCCTGGGTGCCAGGCAGGAGGTGGGGGATGCAAAGGACTCACCATCCCCATCACAGCGATGCAAACTTGGAAGGCATCGAGGCTGGACTAAAAGCTCCCAAAATGTCCCCAGGTGTAAAGAACAGGAGCAGGCAGGTCCTGGCACCCTGGGGCTGCCAGCTCGACCTTGCCAGGAAGGCTGGCACTTGCGGGCTGCACCCTGTGTGTATTATTCTTGAATAAGGCAGAGTGACAGCAGGGCTGGGGGTGCTTTTGCCCCGTGACAGGCTCTGAGCTGCCTTCTGGGCTGGGCAAGCCTGGCTTAGGCTTGGTGTCCCAGGCAGGGCAATCTGGGTTGCCCATTAGGCCCCACAGCAGACCTCCAGCTCTCCCATAGCTCCAGAATCGGTCCCGCAATGACAGGCTCATCTGCAGCAAAATCTGGAGCCCTGGGGGACCTTGTCCTGGTTCCCCCATTCCTGGCAGCGTGCCTGGGGAAGGCTCCCTGGTCCCAGCAATGCTCTGAGCAAGGCTTTGTCTCCCCTTATGTTAGGTTTAATCCTATGCTCCCTGACTCTGCAAGAGCTGTAACAGCAAAATGAGCTTCAGCATCTTCCCTCCTCCTCCTCCTCCTCATCCTCCTCCTCCTCCTCCTC